CTATTATGTGCAGTGCATCATTTCTCCATAGGAGTCTTCTATTGCAACATAGGGCTTAATCTATTTCCATTTATCGTATATATCTAAATAAGTCTATTTGATGTTGAAAGAAAAAAGAAAAAAAAAACCTTTTCTGCACGTCTTCTTTGTTTATCGGCTTCATTTGCATCAGCTTCTTCTTTTTTTCTTTGTCTTTCACGTAAAATATGTTTTTTCAATGCATCACGCATTTCTATTGATAAATTTGGACGTTCAATAACAACAGCTGGCATCTGAAAAATAGCAAAATTTAAATAGATAATGAACAAATAAACATTTCATTAATATCTGGCATAATTTTAATGAAAAATCACACGCAAATAAATAAAAAAACAAATAAGTACAATTGTTCATTTGTAGCATGTATACAAGAAAAAAAACAGCAAAAAAAAAAAAAGATTCGAGACAAAAATTTGTAATTATATTTAAATTTTCATCAACGAAAAGCAAGTGACCAATTATGTAAATAATCATAAAATTGTGGTACAATAGCGCCTATACTTGAATCAATTAAATCTTTTAAATAACTTATTGCTTTTTCATCATCTAAATCAAGACGAAATTTATCGAGTAACTAAAAAATAAAAGTTTAATTTTTATTTTTAATTTTAAAAAAAAATTCTTTTATTAAATACTTTTTTAACTGTTTTATCTCGTTCTAATGCAATATCAGGTATATTTGCATCTAACATAAGTGAAAATAAATTGGCAAAAACATTTGCATGTCTAAAATAAAACAAAAACTATTAGAATAATCCTTACAGAATTAAAATACGAGAAACACGATATAACTGCTGTTGTTAATTAAATGGAAATTATTTTATTCTATCTATTTTAAGGCACATTTCTTCATCATTCTGTAATGAGTGAATCTAGTGAAAAATGTTTTGTACACAAACTAGAGCGAACTTTCAGTTTTACTTTTAGTCTTGAGGAGAATTCCTATAACTTCGTTACTATAAGATATACATAATTGAAGGGAGGTGGTTTCAAATTAATTGCCAATAGCTGTACGCAGTTTTTTACCGAACCGAATTTTGAAATTCGTATCTCTTCATTTTTACGGTCATTTCAGAAAATATGATGTTAAAATAAGCCAAAAAAAACAAATGTCATTTCACTTTACTTTCAATTTTTCATCGAATCTCCGCCTGAATATTCATAGAATGATAGTCTCCGACTAGTGACTGTCATGGTTTGTGGGAAGTTCAAATCTTTACTTCTATAGGGTGTCCGGAAAGTCCTTAGAGTTACAAAAATTTGGATATCTCCATTATGGTTGGACTGAACGAGCTCATTTTTCTAACAAAGATTGAGGCATGTTCACACTCCAAATTCATATAGACAAGGGTATTGAGAATCTTTGTTAACTATCACTATTGACCTCAACAAGAAAATTTTACTGTTTCACAGTTAGGAAAACAAACATTACACAGGATAGGGCAAAAGACACTTTATTGAAAAGACAATTGACTCTCTTCATTATAGCTTGAGCGAACCAACTGATATTTTTACCCAGGATAGAGGCATATCCACACTCCAAATCCATACTGACAAAGTTAGTGAGAACCTTTGTTAAGTATGTGGTTTTTCTTCCTCTCTGTGGAACAGTAAAATTTTCTTGTCAAGGTCAATAGTGATACTTAACAAAGATTCTCAATACTCTTGTCCATATGGATTTGAAGTGTGAACGTGCCTCAATCTTTGTTAAAAAAATGAGCTCATTTGGTTGAGCCGTAAAGGAGATATGAAAATTTTCCTAACTCTAAGGACTTTTCGGACACCCTATATACTTCAACTTATATCATGTTTCACAAAATTAGTTTTTTTTACTTTCGTAGAATAATAAAAGCCGTAAAACAATGTCGTAAGAAATCTAATAAACGTGTTTCATCTAACATTTCCATCATATCTTTTGATACACGCATTGCTTGTGGTAATGGTTTAGGATCTCGACCCATAATAAAACCAAAATCAATATGGAATAATTGACCTGTATCTCGTAATAATAAATTATCAAGATGTCGATCACCTACACCTAATAAATATGTTACTACACAATATCCAGCTAAAAATAAAAAAATTTTATTTTATTTTTTTTGTTATTTCTACAAAATAGAAGAATTTTGTTTTTTTTTCATACCACAACTTTTTACATAAGCATCCATTATTTCTCGAGGAATACCAGTTTCATTTAAAACTGTATCATCATTACTTGTTATAGTTACTTTATTTTGTAAATATTGACGAATTGTACGATTACGTTCAAGAATTTTTTGTAATGGTTGAGATTCAATAAATTGAACAAAACCTTTGATATAAAGAAGAATATGTAAAAACAAAAAAAAAAAAAAAGAGAAAAATAAAACATATTTACCACATTTTAAACTTGTTGCTAAAACTTTATATGGTGTTATTTTTAAATCAATATTTTCTTTTCGAAGAATCTATATAAATCGAAAGAAAAAAAAAAAAAAACTTAAAATTCATTTCAGGATTACATGAAAAAGATTTCAACAAAATTCCTGTGAAATTAAGTTTCCATTATTCAGTTTTTATTCTGATTATATTTCATGTATTGTGTAAATAATTTGAAGTCATTTTAGAGTGTCTGATGTCATTTTTAAGTGAAAATAATATTCCTCGACTGAATTATGAGTTTTTTTCTTTTGGAAAGGATCCTCGAACTTCACCGGCATATGGTAGATAGTGGAGAGTCAGAGCTAAAGAAAAAAATTTTTTTTTTATCTGTCTTGCGCCGACAAAATAAATCTAACGATTATATCTCACAAACTATCCAGGAAAATCAGCTCAAATTTGTTGGGTGATTAGCATTCATGAAAAAAAATTCCCGTAGACATTGAAAATATTCTTTTCAATTTAAATTTTCAACATGTTATATTGTACAAGTAAACTAATACATAGTTTAATATAATTATGACCTGAACTCTGGAGAACCGTTGATTTTTCAGCAAATTGAATACATGTTCACTTCCGTGAGAATTTTTCTATGGACAAAACTTCAAATGAAAACTCTTTGTTATGAGCTTTCTCTGGAATCTATTGCTTTACTTTGAAAAGAGTTCGTTTCCTTAGCTTTTTGCTGCAGAGATATTATACTTTTACAGTATTTTTTAAATGAATTGTCGTGGTAACAGAAAAATTGAGTTTTGAATTTCGACTTGAAACTTTGCATAGAAACAAATCTTGATGAGAATAGATCATTCATTTGCGTCCGTAGCTATAGATCAAATATTCTGATACTTTCATGATTAATTATTCTCATTCAGAGACGCCGGCATTATGTCGGTAGTAATAAGTTATCTGTCGGAATTTCTTTCATGGTATTCATAACCCATCATGATGCATATAATCCCTAATTAAAAGCAATTAATCAGTTGGAAGACTTCTCTCGTTAGTTTCACTTTGAAAGTTCTTTTGTTTATCATTTGAAAAGGTTCTCTTGTGAATTGTTCAATTAATTATCATATCTTACTCGATCCATCAAAGTAATAATTTGTAAAATAAGTTGATCTTGTCGAAGATCATCACCATACTTAAATATAATTGGATATTCTTCACCTTGAACTGTTTCACATACAAATAGAAAAGGTAATTTTGCACTCTAATAATCAACAAAATAAGATTTTATTTTAGAATAAATGCTTTTTTTTTTGTTTTTTATTCTTTACTTTAAATATTCGAATTTTTTCTGGAATAATTCGTCGAATTTTAATTTCAGGATCTAATGGAAGTGGTATTGGTTCAAAATTAAGAAAATTAAATCTAACTGGTGAATCATCACCAGCTAATAATAAACTACGTAATTTATCTTCCTAAAATATTTTTAATAGGAGAAAAACAAAAAAAGGTTAAATAAATATTTAATTACTTTGACTTTAGCTGTACCTTGTACACGTTTAACAATATTTGTTAATTCAACAAGTTTATCAACAAATTTTTTTTGTGCTTCAATTGATAAACGAACTTGTTGAGTTTGTTCATTTTTCTATATGAAATATAAAAATATAAAAAAGAAAAACTAAAAAACTATTCTACCGTTTTAAGTGTTAAACTCAATCGTTCGACAAATGCTTGATACATATCACTTATAGCTTTATCTTTTAATGAACTATTATTTTCACATTCAACATATGCATACCTAAATATTTGTTTATTAAAAAATTAAAAAAAAAAACAAACAAACGTTTTTATTTCTACAAACCAAAATAAATAATTTGCAACTATTGGTTTTTCACATGCTCGTTGAATTAAAAATGTTGATAAATCAATCTATCAAGAAAAAAAAATGAATGAATGAATGAATGACATTCGAATAGAAATATAAAGGTTTACTTCTGGACTAGAAGATTTTGTTGAATCACAAGATGTAGAATCCGATGGAACAACAACATTAGCATAATTTTCACTACTACTGTTTAAACTATTAAATAAAAAAAGAAGCAAAGTAAATCGCATATAATTTTACGAATAAAGGTATTTAGAATCTTTTACCTATTCTGTTCTTCGCCTGAAGCATCTACAACATAAGCATTAATTAAATCATAACGTTCATATCTAAGAGCTTGTACTAATTGTAAAAGATATAAAAGAAGATCCTAGAATAAAAATAAATTCATTAGAAGAAGAAGAAAAAGAAAATCTATTTCAAAAATCTTACTTCATCTGATGCTTGTCTCAATCTTGAAACAGCATAAGAACGAACTTTAGGATGATGATAAGTTGGACCAAGTAATTCAAGTGCATCGTCTGTATCCATTGTAACCCATTGTTGTAATAAATCAAGTGCTTGTTTAACTTCTTCTTCTTTATCCCAATGAACACATTGAAGAAATTTAGCAAGTGCTTTTTTATGTTGTGATAAAAAAAATCGATATTTCCATACTAAATCTTGTTCTTCAATTGAAAGATATTGTCCTGGTGGATATGCTAAAATTTGCATTAATTTATCACGTTGTTCACGTGCTGGTTTTAAATCTTTATCCATTGCTTTACGACCACTACGTGCTAATTTTAAATGTTTACTTTCAACAATATTTTCCTATTTAATATAACAAAAAAAAAGAAAAACAAGATAATATTAATTTTAATATAAAATCTACACATACAAGGTCAAGTTCAGGATCAAAAACAACTGAATCTGTATAACCAATTGGATAATTAATTATATCATCAAAATTCTAAACCAAAAAATAAAATCGTTTTAATATGAGGTTTGGAAAGTTTTTTTTAAATTTTAATGTATTAAGGATCAAATAATATTTTTTTCCTCTAGTAGACACACAAACACATTTAAATAGATTTTTCATTAATTAAAGAATCATCTTATATCGCAAAATAACTATTAGTTATTGATTGTTTTTTATTTTTGTATTCATTCTTCGATAATGTAAAGAACACTTGAAACAAAGAACTATCATCCTATTTATTTAATCCTAAAATTCTTTTTCAATGAGTGAAATTCAAAGTGATTACAGAATTTAATATTTCCTAATAATCGTATATGACGAAAGAACAAAATAATAAAACTTTTTTCGAACCGGTTCAAAATATAATACAACACATTCATTATCTTCAATCATTGTTCGAGCAAATTCAATTAATAAAAGCATTGATTTTGAATTTGATCGTTCAATATCTAAACATGAACGTGCTTTAGCTAATGTTAATTGTTCAAGCCATTCTTGATGTATTGCATGACCATCACATTGAGTTTTAATTAACTAAAAATAAAAAAAAATAAACAAATTTTCAATTAAATAAAAACAAAAATAATTTTGTTTTCTTCTAACTTTTGCTATTCGACTTAATTCATCCAAAATAGGATATTCACTTTCATCATTCCATGTAATCACCGGTGGTTTAGCTGTTATTTGTTTTGAATTATTTTGTAGATTCGTTGTTGTTAATATATTTTTATTTGTATAATTATTAAGAATTGGTTCTTGATGTAATATTGGTTCTATTTTTCCTAATGTTGTAGAATTAAATTTAACATCCGGTGGAATATTTGGCCATAGTTTTAAATCATATATACCTCGACGAAATGTTCTAAAAAATGAAATTTATTATTCTAATTAATAATCTATGTAGGCCAGAATAAATATTTGTATTTTATCTTTTTTTTCTTATCATCAAATATGTTTTATTAAATATAACACGAGATGTAGCGTGAAAAGTTCTACAATCTGCAAAGAATAGTTTATTTTATTAATTAATAAATCACATTTCTTAATTGTTTAGCAATTTGAACTCATGTCATCGTGTACCTGCGAGGAACTCCGAAACCCGATTCCAGCTCCGTCGGAGTCGAAATTATAACAACCTCTAATGAACTTTTACTATTTGATATTACAATAACTTTATTTTTCATATTAACAAACAAAAAAAGCGAAAGACAGCAATCATTACATATGCTAAGAATGAATTTCATGACCAAAAAAATGGCTCACCTTTTGGTTATAACATTCGAAAGATCAACCACATAAAAACATGATGCTATTAATCAAAAAATATTTCAGTACTATCCAAAGTACAATAATTCTCATCGTCATCAATTATCGATTGCTTAGTAGAGTCCTGTATGAAGTCGATTTCAGAGCCGTCGTCAGAGTCGACGAAATTTTATGCTAAAAATTTCGCTTTAGCATAGGAAATTTTTAGTGTAAAATTTAGTTAACTCTGACGACGACTCCGAAATTGACTCTATGCAGAACTCTATTGCTTGGGTGTAGTACATATCGAATACTTCCTAGTTATTCTTTTTTTATTTTCACTACACAACAAATGAAAAAGAAATTGAAAATTAATCTTTTAATGATTCTTTGATTTGATTTTATTCTTTTGCTTGTTTATCGATTTATACATGTTTAAAATTAAACAATAAAATACATTAGAAGTCATCTGCTTTCGAGAAAAAATTTCGGAGTTAGAATTGGAGTCGGGTTTCGGAATAAAAAACCTGACTCCGCAGGTCCCTAGTGAACAGTTCCTAACTATTTTTCGTAGGTCTTCAGATTTTATTTCTTTCTATTTACTGATACAGATTATGACTCTTTAATCGAAGAAATAAGAAAATGAACTCCGTCATGTACTAAAAAGAAAAAATATCTTTTTTTCGCAACATCAAAATTTCATCTATTTTTGAAAATTAAACTTAGATTGTAGAGCTTTTCACGCTATATCTTTTGATATATTTAATAAAATACAAAATGCGATCATTTACCCATCAGAAGCAAATAATGATAGTGTTGTACTTCCAACAATTCGTATATCACTTGGTGAAAGAATTTCATGAATTGAAAATGTTAAAACAGCATGTCGAGGTAAATCACAATATCTTAATGGTAATGTTAACCATTCATTCCAACTAAAATCAAACGAAAAAAAAAAAAATTTTGGTATTTGTTTTTTTTTTGTTGTTTTTCAATCTTACTTCCATTTATCTATAAATGATTTAAATGATGTTTGAACAGGCATACATAATGGTTGTCCATCAGAAAAGACTTGACAAACAACATATGGTTCACTACGTTTTGTATCATTTAAATTACGAACAAATGTTGAATTTTTCGAAAAAAATAAATCATTTATAAGTTGTTGTGGTCGTTCACCATCGACTGAACCACTAGAAAAAGATACATACATATATATATACAATAAATAAAAAGAAAATAATTTCTTATTACATTTTAATTTGAATACGATTTTCAAGTTCATGATTGAAAACAAAATGAAATTTTTCTGATGCTGTTGACATTTTCTCAATCAAAATATCTACAAGACTAAAGTCGTATGATTGTAAGACTATTTTGAAAAAGTCAATAAAAATGAATCAAAATAAATTATTATTTGTTCTTACCATATGACTTATCATCATTGATTGTAGCGATAAATAAATAAAAATAAAATTTTCTATTGGCTATTTTATTATAACCAATAATAGAATAAGATTAATTATGAACTTTTTTCAATCTGTCAAATCTTCTTAAGAAATCGAATTATTTATAATTTTCAAAAAATTATTGTACTTTGAAAAGTACTTTAAAAATGTACTTTGCTCATTTGTTTTATAAATGTATTAACATACACGAACAAGGACAATAATAATAATTTTATCATTATCTATATGTTATTCTTTTGTCATAACAACATGCAAATAGTTATTTAGAACAAAATATCAACAGAGATTGTAGCAATCGCTATGAGACGTACCTACTCAAATAGTTTAAGAAGCATCAATTTGTCGTTTAAATCAGTATTTATTGTCTGCAAATTATCGTTTATCATAAATACACGCCATTTTAAAGCAAGAAAACGACCTTTATAAACGGTATTGAAATTTTATTATATGTATATAGTGATTAGATACTTATAGTGACATTTATGAGAAAACAATTTTTTACTTCGAAACGACATTTAGATGTGATAAACGACAAAATGAATGATGTTTTCTGAACTATATAAGTATTTGAAAGTATTGAATTAGTTCCATGAACAATACTAATCTCATATTTATGCTTTTGTTCTCATAGAAATGTGTTATATAAATCCTTTATTTTTAAAACTGAATGTATTATGTCTTTGCATCGTTTTAATCCCGATTATCCCATATTTGATACTTCATTACTTGCTATTCTTCATGATTAGTTAACATGAATAGTGATATACAGGTTGATTACGTTATTTTTAATAGTTTTATGTAGTTTGCTGTATTTATGTAGAACATCGACTACTCTATCGAACCATATAGTTTACATTTTATTTTCTTTGGTTCTAGTTCAAAAAATCATCAATTTTTCCTCCACTCTGGAAACATTATAAAAGGAAAGTATTTTAGTAGTAAATAATTGCTTTGATATTGGTTTATTAAGATCAAGCTCTCGCCGTTTTTGTGGACAAAAACTTAATGAATGTCAGAATTTTTTAACAGCATACCGTGGTCTTCCTCTCAGGAACATCACAAAAATTTATTTTCGAATTTCGACTTGAAACTTTGCACAGAGATAGGTCTTAGCAAGAGTAGATTATTATGAAAATTTCAGATCTTTTCGTTGTTCCTATCCTAAAATTCAAACATCGAATCCGCCCGTGTATATGAGCGATGTCGTAAAAGGCGCTTTTACCATAGTAGTATTTTAAGATAGGAACAACAAAAAGATTTGAAAATTTTATAATAAACTGCTCTCGTTAAAACCTATCTCTCTGCAAAGTTTCAAGTTGAAATTCGAAAATAAATTTCTGTAATATTTTCCTTTACTGCTTTTTGAGATTTATCGATTTTTTGAACTAGAACCAAAGGAAATAAAATCTAAACTATATGATTCGATAGAGTAGTCGATGCTCTATCCAACTGTATCAAAATAAGAAATCTCCGATGTTCTACATAAAACTATTATAAATAATGTAATCAACCTGTATAAAATAAGGAATTGATTGAAAGTTTCTATTCAACATATTTGACTATTTTTTTTTGTTATATTTAAATGAATGGATAGTGTATTAGAATCAGAATTTTATACTCTTTGATAATATATATCTATGACTTTTGAGCTATTAGTAAATCTTAGCAACCCTCAAATCAAACTTATTCCAGACATGCTATAAAATTTTATCGAAAATATTGGAAGATACAGTACACACTTTTATAAAGTCTATCACAAGAAAAAATAGCTATTTTTCCCGACTTTCGCCTTTACAGTGCAAGATGATCTTCCGTAACAACTCTGCCATTTCTTTTTTAGCAAATTAACCAAAATTCTCCATTTTTGCATCATTTTGAATAGTAGATACCATTGTCAAGTACGATATATTTACAGAACTTGTTTGATGTAGACTTAAAACTTTAATTCTAATACACTAACAATGCATTTAAGGGGGTCCCCTCCTCAGAAACGAACTTTGTTATTTTTCATCCGGTTTCAACCAAAATTTCGGAGAATGTTAGCCTTGACTAGAATATCTTATGGCTAAAATATCTCCCCAAAATCTCAACGAAATGCACAAGTTCTAGTCAATTCATTACCATTTACGAGAGCAAGGATTTCGCAATAAGGATACGAGCTAACAAGCTTGAGCGGTTTTCAAATTGTAGATTACTCTTAGGGTTAGATCCTCACAGGGCCTGATTTTTGAATTTCCTTTTGTTTGTCTTTTTGAATAACCTTTTTCGTAAAATGCACGAAGTCATGTCCAAAAAAATTGCTAACAAAAATGAAATATCTAAGTTTTTTATTTTACCAAATGAGAAATTCAAAAATCGAGCTCTGTGAGGATTTAGCCCTAACTACCTTCTATATATGAAAAAAAAAATGATTACTTCTCTACTGAATTAGAAATAGATTTTTCCGAAAATCATCTGATTTATGTATCAATGTTCAAGACAGGCTAAATATATTTCATCTTAATATTAAGTGTTGATAGTCTCTTGGTGATTAGTATAAGAAAAAAACTTTACAAAATGCTGATGCAAAGAGAAAGCAGCCTAAAAAGTCAAAAAAGCCGTGAAAATTTCTCGAAAAATATGATAGTAGGAGCGAAGTTTTAGACAACAAGTTCGTCAAAATCAATTCATTTTTTGATAAACTATAGGTATTCTGAAAGAGACGACTTCGGTGCATCTTCCAATGATAAAAATTCAATTTCGCCTCGTCTGCGAAAAATTGGATTTTCTGAGGAAGGCTTAAAGAAGCGAAAAGTAGGCAAATATTTTGTCTAGAAATATTCTTACTTGCCTTTATGATTGATATCATGTTATTGCCGTTACGGATAGTGCCATCTTAAACAATGACTTCCTCTAAAGAAACAAAACCTGGTCATCTAAAAGAAAACGAGATTGATTGATTCATTTTAAGAATCAAGGTATATTCATATTAATAAAAAAAAAAAAAAGAAATTTTCTTTAATTTATTTAAACTACTAAAATATGTAATACAAATATTCAAGGACACGGAAATTTAAATCAAATTGATATTATGGTTAACCTTTATGAATTATCTATTTTCTATTTCGATTTATAATTCTAGAATGGAACAAACTAAAGATGCTGGCTTTACGTAGATCGAAAGAGAACATTTGTATCTATCGAATGGTTATATTATCGATCAAAATCCAATGCGAAATTTTCTAACACATAAATTCAAGTTTTCAGAGACCCATTAAATATCGAAAAACTTTATTGCAAAGGTATTTTCAAAAAAAAACAAAACATCCCTGTTCATCATATTTTAGCGGCGACAGTATTAAGAGAATATTTGAAAAATACTGTGAATTATCCGTTACATTTGATTAAACAACAAAAATGAAGGTCAAATTAGTTTTCTATTGAAGTGTAAAAATACAACATTGTTTGATGCATATAGAATGTTAATGAATGATATTGTCTACACAATAAATGAATTGCAATTTAATCATTTAGTAAAGTATAGAATCTTATATGAAACTATCCATAGTCGGTTGTTTGTTCTTTGAAGAACAAATAGAATAAAAATATGTTCTACATCAAAAGGATGGACTTTGTTTCGAACGCTCAATATATTTGTTATGATCTTGTTATATAAGAAAAACTAACTGATCGTCTTGTCATATTAAATTGATGATATTCTAACTGAGAAAATTCTGCTAATTAAAAATATACAATCAACTATAGAACTGTGATACTTTTTTTATTATCTCTAGTTTTCATTTTAGTCCAATTTTCTTCAACATTTCATATGTAGTTAATATTTTTTTTCTCAACGATCTTGTGCAAATAAATAGATAAAGTAAATCTTCTTCAATAGAAAAAAAGAAAACAAGAATCGGAAAATATCTAGCAATAGCAACGCAAAAAAACACTTCATAAAATTGTAATCGACAAATGACGCTTGAGACGAAGTGACTTTCACTATGCATACATATTCTTCATATAATTTAAAGCAAAAAAAGAAAGGGCCTGACCGGGGATCGAACCCGGAACCTCTCGCACCCAAAGCGAGAATCATACCACTAGACCATCAGGCCACGATATCTCTTTTTATATATTTTAGTTACAAGCCGACCATTGATAGATCTTATCTATTGCAACACAAACTCATGTTAATTATTTTCGCCTACATATACGTCTTAAAAAAAAGATATGAATAGCATTAATAATATATCCAAAATTTAGATGAGTAATATTGTGTCAGAAAATTTTTCTATTAATTATTACAATTTTATTATAGTTAAAAGAATATTATGGATTTTCTGCTTAGCAAAAATTATTCTAATCGTGTCATATCATTCTTGTTGACCTTTAAAGAATATATAAGACTTCCGCTACAAAAAAAAATAAGGATTTCATTAATTATGGTTGTTAAAAAAATAATTTTTTTTTGTGATTATCCAGATGACATATAGAAGCGTTAATAATTCAATATGAAATATTCCTCTTCTTTTAGTTGGCGCTTAATTGTATTATTTTTATTTATATATTTTTTTTGTTAATCTTTTCTATATAAATATTTTGTTTTTCTGTTAAATACATCAATACTATAGACTATAACAATAGACGTATAAATAAATACATATATTTAATATATATATATAAATACACATATATAAAGTTTAAATAAGTAAACATACACACATATATATATATATAAACATACAATCTAATCTTTGAAACACATTGAATCAAAATCATTAGTAATTGTGAAAAAGCACATGATAATTTTTGCTCGATATTTTGTCTCACTCTCATATCTACCTGAATAATCCGTAATGAAAACAAAAAACAAATGAAATATAAAATACAAAGGAAAAAAAAATGTATATACATATAGACAATGAGAAAGAAAAAAAGTCCAAAAAATAATTATATACAATACTAGATTAGTAATAGAAATTGAGGTTTAACAACTTAATCTAGTTTTGGCATTAGTGAGAAGAAAGAAACAAAAAAAAAACTGAGATCACTTGACTGTAATAATACGTTTTTGTGAATTTAATAAATCACGTTTGTCAAATAATTGTTCATGTTGATCTATAACATAAGAATCAAGATTAGCTGCACTAACATTTCCTTGAGTTCCTGTTGATGGTAATGAATAAAGAACCTTCCATTTACGTTTTTTATTATGTTGTTTATTATTTACAACACCTGATAAAGGTTGAATTATATTTGATGATTTATTATTTGATTCTAATGGTCGTTTTGTTTGTGGTGATGATTTTTGTTGTTCTTTACACTGCTCATTTTCAATAACAACAAATTCTCCTTCATCATGATCATCAATAAGAATCCATGAATCAGTCATTTGTTTTGGTGATGATTTTAAAAAGCCATTGTTGTTAGCAGCCATAAATATATTTTAACAACAGATAATGAAAAAAAGATAATCTAAAAAACAAAAAAAACAATGTCAAGAATATTTTTCCTTTTCAATAAAGATCTTAAATTTATACAGCAGGGAAAAAAAACAATAAAGCAAAACTTGAATAAACATGGACAAAGAAAATGAATGAATTATTCTTGAATATATAGACACACGGTTTATATAAAAGAATATAGCGATGATGACGATAGAATGTACCCACGCACATATCTTTTCTCTCGAATAATCGACTCTATCGTCGATATAAAAAACGCAAGAGGAGGAGGAAAAAAAAATTCTGGCTTTTATTTTCTGCTCAGCGTATACATTTTGACAACTGTTGTTATTAGTAATGCAGGAAAGAGAAAAAAGAGAGAGAGAGAGAGAGAGAATAGGCATGTGATCGTCATTGTTCTATACACACACACATCATGTGATTATGCACTCACAAGGTTCATGACATCATTACCATTGGCCAAAAGAATAAATATTTATTTGCAGCAGTGCATGTGCTGTATGTGGTTACAAGAAGAAAAAAAAGGAATCGCTTCTTTTGCCAGAAAGAGAAAAAAAAGGATTAGAAAACAATTCGACAAGTATTGAATCTTGGATCTTAAGAATGAAGTTTTTTTTCTTAGATTACTTGTTAATTATTTTTAATCTTTAAACGTTTAAATAGAAATTTTGTAATACAAAAAATTTCATCTAACAAATAAAAATAATGAATGTATCTTGATTAAATCATATTATCAGAATTGATGATAGCGATAAATATTTGACGCATAGTACATTTAAAACAAATTTTTTAATATTTTTAATGAAGTAACAGATGACCCATAAATAATTACACTCTTAATATTATCAAAAATTGTTATAGATTATAGTTAAAAACTAAAGACATAATAATGGAAATGAACTCACAAAAATTTATCATCAATAGATACTGGCCCTATCAATTTGTCACACCATATCCTGATCGTCGACACATAATTCAAACAAAAGTGAATGTCTCAAAGGCAAAATGATTCTAGGTGATAACAAGAAAATTACTAGTTGAATAAAAGTGCGTAGCACTACTATTTCATAAAGATCTTGACTATTTTTCATAAAAAAAAGTCAACTGTGACTACCTAGATCGATCAAAATGGTAACTTCTTTGCAAACTAAATGTTAGAAGAATATTTTAAAGGTTCACACGTGTTATCACAGTGAAAAATGATATACAGACCATGAGTCTACATAATTTAAATCCGTTAGATAATAACTTATGTAATAAATTGGTTGAAACTACGAATTAGAATAACAAAAACAATATTGATAGACGAAATAATGCATTATTTCACAATAATATGAAAAAGAAAAAAAATATATATATTCTGCCCTTGATGACACTGTGTATGATTACACGTTCGATTAAAAAGAAAAATCGACACGCCTCCATATGTTAAATACGATATATCACTTGGTGCAAAATTTCTAGTGTTTTCTTTTGATTAAACGACAAATTTTGCAAATAATAAGTATACAATTATTTATGGGCCACTCGTTATATAATCAAAACAATAAAATCCTTATTAACAAATCTGGATAACACATTGATTGATGTGTATTATTGAGACACGACAGCAATGAAAAATATGTTAGAATCATGCACGTGCACAAAATAATATATAAATACGCATGTCAGTTTGATTCAAATTTGATGCAAAATCATTTTTTGTAATAAAGACAAGGTCATATATAATCTACTAAATTCAGTCAGCTGTATGAATAATTAGAAAATATTGTTAACTATTTCTCAATGTTTGACACAAATTATTAAGTCATATTTTTCATTTTAAAATCTTTGAAAATAAAATATATTGTATACGAAGTTTGGCATAAATCATTGATCTACGTGCAAAATACTTTTTCTAGATAATAACAAATCAATCTTTACAAAATACGATATACAATCTTTCTGATTAATCTTGTATGTGAATGATTGTTTAAGAAAAACAAAATTAAAGATGAATATAGTTTTTATTATGGAAAAAAAAAGAAAGTATATTAGCATTTTAGATACATGAGTTAATTCAATCATATTGAAACCAGAAACTTATTAGAACTATCAATGAATATTAATTATCGCATTAAATCTGAAAGTATGTTTGATGTGACAGAAAAAAAAAAACATTGATACCTATCAGTGATGAGCATAAGACAGCAAGAAACCTTATCGTGACTTTCGATCATTAAATTATATAAACAGCGATAAAAAATACTACTCAAAGAGCCTTGGGTTTTTTTTGGTCGAAACTTGTTAAGAAAAATTAAATTCGAATAAAGATCAGTGCTTAGCTCGTAGAACTTCTTAGATTTAATTAGAACAGAGTTCGAAATTAGAAAGATTTCTAGTTTAAAAAATTATTCTCAAAATGAACACAACGTAGGGAACACATATGTGTCAATGATAGACTTTAGAATATCAAATCTTTTCACTGCATACTGACAAATGAATGTCAATGACTAAACTAATATTCATTTTGAGGAAAGAATAAAAATGCGATGATCATTTATATTGAAAATCAATGTCATCTGTAGAAATGGACGAAACTGATGAAAAGAAAATTATTCACGAATGTCAATTGAAGTAGATTATCTAAACACATTTTGATTGAAAGTCAAGCAAAAAAAGTAGAGAACATTTGATATGAACTTCAAGAGAGCGAGTTTTTTCTCATTATTTTCATTTCAATCAGAAATATGTGGGAAAAAAAACAAATCTAGGACACAATTTTCTAAAAGGGTATGGATGTAAGTCCTGTATTCTTCAAGAATCACACACACACCCTAAACTCATAAGTGTAGTTCATTTCATTTTTATGCAATAAAAACAGTTCGGAAACTTTTTTGAACATGGATATAAGTTATCATTATAAGAAAAGAAGCTATGGAATAATTATAAATGTGAAGATTTTCGAAATGATAAAATTTCAGAGCATGATTGTCAACGATAAAAACTGTTATTTGAAAATCTTTTAAAAAAAAATTATTTTAAAAGCTCTGACAATATATCAAAAATGAATCATAGCTAAAGTTCGTGATTTCCATACTTTGTTTCGAAAAGGTGCTGCACTGACAAGTTTTTACTAGTGCTGCTTTTATTTTTGGAAGATGTTGAAAATATCTGAAACCTTGAAAATGTGTCAAAAATTTTTCACCGAATTAGAGTTTATGACCTGTAGTTAGATTGACATTTAGCATACAAAGTTCATCATAATATATCAAAAAGCACTTATCGCGATGTAACTCACGACAAATTGATTATTGCTTATTCTAATTATTATACAATGAAATTTTAATCTGAAATGAATATGTTTCTTCTTATAAGGTTAAAATCATCTTTGGTATGTTTTTTTTTCTTTTTCTAATAATTTCGTTTACAAATATGATACTCACAACGATCATTGTAATGGATAGTTCATAACAATTAAGCTACTCTATGTAAAAGTTATTCTTGATAGAATCTAAGAGTACGGACGTGCATGTTCTGCTCGCTCTCACACCACAACTACTCAGTAGGAACAATTTTGAATGTTTTGGAACTTTTTTTTTGGAAAACTTTATAGTCGTATTGCTAATACAGTTCAGCGTCGTTTCTTGTTACTAAGGAACTTTGAGAAAGAAGTCTGACGCCTGTTGTTCTCAATTGCTAAGAAAATACACCTGATGATACATGTTCTTCTCTTCTGTTGCTATTAGCGGGAGGGAAGGGAAAGATGCAAACTGCAAAATCTCGAATTGAAACTTACACTCACTATATTTTTCTTCGGAAAAGATAATATAACTTTTACAGAAGTGAAAATCCATAGCGAAGATTTGTAGTTCTATTTTTGGCAGATGATGTTATGAACACTCTGTAATGATCATCTTATATATAATGCACTTGATAACTCCTCTGTTTTTGTTTATTGATTATTTCAATTATAAGATACATATGATCAAGTGATCAATCTTGTTTTCATGTTATCATTTGCATAATTGAAGAAAGAAATGATAATCAATTTAGTATATCATGAAACCGTAAACATAATGAAAAAATGATGGATAAGCTGAATGAATCCATTGATTAAGTACAATATTAAGATAGAAATATTCTCGTTAAATTTCAATCTTAGATAATATTACTAATTCAGCTCAGTATATCAATATGAAATCTTTTTAAAAAGGTAAATAATAGTAGTACTATAGCAAACTTTTAAGATCATCATCAAGTTCTGTAGAACTTTGTTGAATTTCACGTAACAAATTATTTATTGTTTTAGTTTCTCGTAGAATATCAATAGGATATGGATTTTATTCATCAATTCGTGCATGTTACTCAAGTATACTAAAGTGTTTCGCAATCTCAAAGATAAATATAATAGGGAAAAGCTTTCAGGGCAATGTCGTGAGTAATCTAATATAAAACACGATGAACTTCGATTAGACTTTCTTGGAAAGGTTGGCTATGGATGAAGAATAGATCTATATACCGTCACTTGATATTGGTCCAGTCATTAAAAATACAGACTTTTTCCAATTCTAATCTATAGATGTTTCAACAAGATTTGATCAGTGTTAAGTAAGAAAATTTTAAACATATGTCTAGAAGCAGGATGAAATTTTCATCGTAATTAGATACTTTTGATCTTCTTTATAGCAATAGTTAAGTAGCTAAAGCATTAATAAAATGAATTATTATCCATCGACAATTATGCTTTAAATAATAAACTATATGCCTTTCTTTTAATAGAAAAAAACATGAAAATGATAAAAATAAAGATAGAGAACAACACAAATAATACAAGCTGTCTTTAATTCGAATTTAATGTTATTTCAATCGTTTTTCAAGTCGTACATTGATGGCTTCAGGTTCAGTAACATTCGTTTCTCGTAGAGTCATCCCTTGATAGATCTTTTCACCAGGTAGAATATTATATGTATGTAACAAATATGTCAAAGACATTTTTAATGCCATCAAAGCAAATCTCATACCAATACAATTTCGAGGTCCAATACCAAATGCTATTAAGGCTGCAGGATGACGTTTTACAGCATGACGTTCGGGAATAAAACGATTAACATCTTCTGGTCCCCAGAGATCGATATTGTGGTGAACCGAATGAACGTCCGGCATAATTATCGTACCTGAACAATTAGAAGTAAAATTATTTGATGTCTATAGCATTTTAAAAGCATCAGTATATTTAATATCATTTTTTCTTTAATCTCAAGCGATAAGTATGTAATGTTTTCCTCACCTTTTTCAATTAGATGACCGCAAATAACTGTTGTTTCATTGCATTCTCGAATTGTTACTCTACCTAAAAATGAGTACATTCGAAGTATTTCACGTAAGAACATATCCATATATGGCATATTAGCAATCACATCATAATTGAGTTCTTTTCTGTTATCTTGCCAATGTTCATCAATTTCTGCTTGTAGTTTTTTGTGAACTTCAGCTTTTGTAGCTAAAATATAAGTGCAAAACGCTAGCATTGTTGCAGTTGTATCGAAGCCAGCAACCATAAAAAGAAAAACGTTCATCAATACTTCAGTATAATGCAAATGTTTTAACATCAGTTCGTTGTCATCATGATCCTATAATAATGATAAATACAGTAACAATTAGGTGTTTTTTTCTCTTTTATCAGATCGAATTTACTTTGACTTCATCATCAGTTGCTGCATCTAACATCAGTTGAAGTAAATCTAATTGTTTCGTTCCAGATCTTAATCTTTCTTTAACTACATTTCCGACTTGTTTCATAATCCATACATTAGGTAGATCTTCGACATTAGATATTAGGCACGGCATCAATGTACGAATTGTATCAACAAGAAAGGAATGAATTTTGACATATTTAGTGAGTAATGGAATAAGAAATGGCATAACAATGGACAATTTGACAATAAAGAGATCCTCTATTTGAACAGCCACAGTAGCTGTTGATTTTTTCATATAAATATTTTCGATATCGTTTTGCATATCTGTATTGATACCGAATATACAATGCCCTATATATATATATAGATATATATTGTAGGAGAAATTAACTCTGTTCTAGGATAGAACAATCATAGTTTCATCTAATTCTATTCAATTTTAAGGTGACTTTGAACAAAAACTAAGACAGAGGAGTATTCAAACTAGATCATTCATTTTTACTTACAAATAATATCCATGATTAATCGTTTATAGAATACAAATATATCGAATTCTTGATTGTTCATATCATCATCGATTGAATACATTTGTTCATAAGTGGTGTCATTATTTTCAATTTTGCTACTGAAAACGTTGGATTTATTACATGTCGTTGACGTCGCTATCGATTTCCTTGTGCAAAAAATAGATGATCTCCTTTTTCTAGATGAATACGAGAAAGAAAATTTACACGACGTGAATGAAACGATGAAAATTGTTTTATATAAACTTCGTGCAAAAAATCAACATCGGATACAATATACATTGGATTTGGTCCTTCGAAGATACCATAAATCGGACCATAGAGACGAGTCCATTCACCGATTTGTGTAAAAGAAAGTGGTGTATTCCAGAGTTGGAGTAGATTACCGAAGAAGAATTGTGGTGGTGGTCCAGGAATATTTCGATGAACGAAATATTTATAACGTCATTTTAAAATCCAAATATATATAACAAGTAGGATAATAAAAGCAACAAGCAATATTGTAGTGATCAACATGTTTGTCTTTTATGTTGTGCAAATGCATATTCAGGTAAAAATGCTCGGAATGAGTCACACAGTAAAATAGACTCTCGTTCTTTTCTCTGAATATGAAATCAAATATACATTATAAATAGCTGGTCTTCACCTAGCTCGATCATATCTACTTGGAATATTCATTTTATGTTGGTTTTTTAAGTCCTTTTTCATCTATTACAATTTTGTGTTCTTGATAGATTCTGCATTTAATCATCAAACGAAACATTACATGCATGTCTATGATTCATGCATCCCTCTTGGATCGATAGATCTACGACGTTTAATTACGTGTTATGACGCTAGGTGAAAAAATCATCATAATAAAATAGGAAAAAGATGTGATAAGCGAGCGAAAGGTAATATTTTCTTAAAGACAACAAAAGATGACAGCAGTTGCAGAATTCAGAATTTTATACATTTGGTTTTTTTTTCCTTAGTTCGTAGTGAAACACAAAATGAATGATTATAGAGAATGTTGTGATATCTCAACATATCTATTTAGTTATTTATTGATACAGTTCTTAATAGTTTACAAGTGCGCAAAAGATTTCATTCTTTGATAATTGCAGAATATGCTTCCAATTTAAGAAAATTAGTGGAATATCAAAAGAATTTGGTTTCGAAAATAATAATAATTTATTTATAGATGTTTTATGGTTAATTGTATAGAAATTCGGGAAAATTTTACTAAGTTTTTAAATTCTCGGTAAGAATCTGTTTTGATCTAGGAGAAAATGCATTTGGAATATTTCGTGTTCTACTAATTTTAATGAAGCAGAGCTCTTTGAAGTTCTAGAAGAATTTCTTGTTTAGAGCGAGAAAAAAATGCTTTAGACAAATGTGTCTTGTGGAGAGAAAATGGGTTATCTCTCTTTATCAACAGCTGTACCATTTGCTCCATCCAAGTTGGTAGTAATAAGATACTCACTGTTCTATTCGACGTTGTCGCCCGAGGCGTATGAAATGAGGAAATGTGCAGCATCAATACATATTACTTAATCAATATTCATTTTTATTTCTTATTGTTATTAATAGATTTATTTCGTTAATTTATGAAATGATTTTGATGTATAATATGATCTGAACGTTATATGTTTTTAGTTTTGGTTCTATATATGTTAATGATAACATTGTTCGGTTGTCAATTTCCTATTTATCTAATTTTTTTGACAAAAAAAAAATTTGATCAAAAGCTAAGACGTACTCATTTTCATTCATTTGAGAGTATAATTGATATTTGATAGTACTTTGTTCTATGATAGGAATGTTTTTATACTGTTTTATAAGCATCTATATATAAGAACACATTCGATGCTCTGTTTTATTGTCATCATTAAAATTTTTTCGCTGTGTGCTAGTGGATCTATTCAATACAAATACGTGGGTGCATACAGTTTGACTTTTTTTTGCTCCTTATTATCTATACGTCTAACTACCACGCAGAAATAATTTGTGCATCACGTGAAGTAAAAGAGTGTAAATGTGGGTGTTTGTGAGATCTCTTGTGAATAACATCCATACCCAGCTCTTACATTTTACAAATTAAGTTTTCTTTCATACTCCTTCATCAGATTCCTTCATTCAACAATGTTTCATCATTCATAGAAGCTAGAATCTTGTCAGAATCGGCTCATATGACAGCGAAATCTTTTTTGATCTTCTACTATATTGTTGATGCTTTGCTTTTTTTTTGTTCAATTTATTGCTATATTTCAAATAGAATGTGGATGCGCATATAGATATGATCAGCCACACTCACTTCTCACACCCAATATCGATGCTTTATTGTTTATCTTAAAAAAAGATAGAGGATAATGGAGTATCGTTCAAATTTCAACAATTCTCGTAGATTCAGAAACATTAGCTATCAATGAGCTATCGAATGTGTGTTAGATGCATATGAGTATGACTGTAATACCTTCTGTTCACCAAAATCCATCCCTCATCCATATCGATTTTTATGTTCTGTTGACAACCATGCACATTAAATCTATTGGCTGTTCAGTCTATTCTTCTTCCGTTATGATTTCGTATTCCTACGAAGCATTCACTATACTTCATAGATTTATTTCTATTTTTGACAGAAAACTATATAACTTTAATCATTTAAATGCATATAGGCAAAGTTATCCATCGCTCGATAGATTTCGACCTAGAACTACAACTACACCAGAGGCACTCTATTTAAATTTAGTGATATTTATTTGTTGTTTTATTTTAAATGAAACAATAACTACATATGGAGAGCACTGTTACAAAGTTTTCTTGACTAATCAATCACATTTTATCATTATTAAGAAGTATTCAATCTTCTAATTCTTTGATTCTTTGTTCGGCCTTTTCAATAAGTTGATCTAGTTTGCCCAACAAATCATTACTCAAACCTCCCTTCTGTACTGATTCGGCCTTTGTATGAAGTTTCCTCGCCCAAGTAAAGTATTGACAAGCTTTCTTGACTGCCTCGATATTATCTTTGACTAATTCTTCTTTGCCTTTGGATACAAAATCATCGGCGATGTCTCGAGAGAGACGTGACAAAACGGCTCTTTCATCGCTAAACATTTGAATACAGTTCAGATCCAAAAACTCTTCAGCCCAACGTGAATGTAGAGCCATATCAGTACAAAAAATATAAATTGAATGCTCGTAAAATTTTCCATTTTGATCTTGAAATACGCCCGGATCCATACTGAGAAGTTTAGGTATGATGTATTGTCCGAATGAACCTGAAGTAATAAAAAAAATACGCTTTTTACCCGCATTGGCAAGAAGAAATTTGTGACATTTTTCTATATCATCGAATAATTTGAAAACGAGTGCAGTCGCATTAAAATCAGATTGTTGAGAAGATTTTTCTTCATGAATCAGATTCAGTATATCTTTATCATCAATCTTGGTTGGTAATTCATTTTCTGGATCGATAGTAGTAAAAAAGGCTTTTTTCAAATTCTGACAATTGTTTGGCGAAGCAACATTTTGGTCGAGCCAGACGATAATGTAATCGGGATTATCAGTTGAAGCTGACATCATAAATTTTACTTTACACTAATTTTAATTCAATGAATGAAACTTCTCTCTTTATTTTATAGAGAGCAATACTACTCTATGTTATAATCGCCGTAAATGATCACCAAGGCTTTTTAAAGTGATATAAAGAAAAAGAAAATGAGTTGGAAAATTCCAACAATGATTAATGCGGCCGAGCATCAAAAACGAAAAATAACAATATTTTTTCCAAGGAAAGACAAAGTCACACAGGTGAGTGGCGGCATCATTACTACTAACGATGATTCATCGCATAATGTTATGAAGTGGGAAGGCACGAATGAATATTTCACTGCCTCTGTGCCTGGTTGTATGAGTTTCCTTGTAGCTAGGTACGCATATCTATGAGTGATTTCTTGGGAACCCGGAAACCTATTCCAACTTGATATAGATTAAAAGAATAAGCACAACCACATGTCTCAATATAATCAGAAACGCGCGGAAACGAATCTTCGAGCGGGTTCCGTTCCTGAGGCATGGAATCCTAGGGGACGGGGAAACTTGACACCCACCAACAGCCAAAACATCTGGTAAGTTCCCAAATGGTGGAGATATTTTCGCTACTTCACTGTACAAGATCAGTTTTTATTAAAGATTATCCAGAAATGTGACAATTTTACGTTGGAAATTATCTGGTGGTAGACACATTTGCTTTTTCAGAAATCTGAACACTGTTGTATTTTCCATATGAAATTCGTTACTCTATCGTCTAGTCGATAGCGTATAATCCATTGTTGGTCAAATGAAGTTTTTATTTGACGTTGAAATCTAATACATTCATTTTCATCATCAAAACGAAGTTCAATTCGAGTGCCTTGTCAACATATTACTTACGATGAGGTTCGATCGAATGATCAACAGCATATAAGAGAAATAAAAATGAGAAACATTCTATGAATTTGATACATGAGTAGATATGAAAAAAGAATGATCAATACAACAAACAGTCGTTATAATGGTGAACAAAAAAAGGAACTTGACTTAATTCTATTGACATCAATTTATTTATACAAATATGTTAAAAGCATATTTATTCAGGAGGGTACGAATGTAGGTGTTTGTTCACCCTTGCACCCACACCCCACATCCTGTTCTTTTTTGAACAAATAGAAAATAAAGTGTTTCATCATTCTTGCAGAATTATGTTTTGCTTTCGTTCTTTGATGAGCATGGCGATCGATATTGTTCG